CTCAAGACTGGAGAGATTTGGTTACAGTCGTTTTAGAGGCTGGTCCTCAATTACAAGCTGGTGGAAAGATGAGGCTAAGACCACAGAACAACAAAGTAGGGCTAGAGGAATGGAAATCTCCAAATACCAACTTCCTGGAGAGGGAGATTATGCTAATGTAGAAAGGCAATTTTTATATCATGACCATACCCTGGCTGTATGCCACATAGCAGCTTTGAAAGCTTGGGACAGAACTGAAGAAGTAGGAAAGAAAATTGAGTCATTTACAAAAGATATACAAGGCCCAAAAGAAACCTGCACAGATTTCTTACAAAGGCTGTCTTCAGCAATAAATAGAATGATACCAAATTCAGAAGCTAGAAAGATAATAATTAAATTTCTGGCTCTTGAAAATGCTAATGCACAATACAAAGGGGTAATTAGGCCGTTACAGGCAAGATCAGCATCATTGGAGGAACGGATCTGAGATACAATTAATATTGAATCTCATGACCATGATGATGCTTAAATAGGAGAGGTGATTTCTAGAGGTTTGAAGAAAAATAGTAATGTCAGGTGTTTCATTTGTGGTAAACAAGGTCACCTAAAAAAGGACTGTAAACAGGGTGTCCCTAGAAACAATGTTTTTTCACAGAACAATGGCAACAGAATGCCCTCCGTTCCGTATTATGCAGAAGGTGTGGTAAAAGCAGACACTAGACTAAAGAATGTATATCAACACTGGACAGACAAGGTAATCCTTTGCCTTTGTTGTCAGGAAAACTCCCTGAGGGGCCTCTTGCAGCAGCCCCATGTCAAATACTGTTCAGTCCTTTCCTGTCATCATGGAAAAAACTCCTTCCCAGAACAATTAAAGAACCTAATACCTATTTTAAAAAATCATACTGCTCTGGATGATAAAACAGCTTTAGAAAATAAAACAAAAATTTAAGGAGAAACCATAAATCAAAATTGATAAAGATTAGATTTGGAAACTCCCCAAAGTTAGGGTTGGGGAAGGATTTTGTTTTTATTTTTCAGGAAAATAAAAACAACCATCTTGAGGAATTTAAAGATGTTTGGACAAATAAGCATCCAAAGAAGAAAGAAGAACTACCTGAAAAAAATTACCAAGAAGAGAAATAATCTGACCTAATGCAATCTCTGAAGTCTCCAAAAAGATGATGGGATCCCACAACAATGATTCTATCAAGACAATGATAATACCTCTAAGATGACCAATGCCACTCAAAGATTGGTTTTGGACTACAAACTGCTCAGGACAATTTGAGATGACTAGCTGAGACGATGCAGCTTCACAGACTACTCGAGCAAGGACTTGAGGCATTTTCCCATTCTGCAGAGACTGGACACCAAATGAGACAGCGACCTCTCCCAGGACTTGACAATTAACCCAAAATTTTCTTTTCAGGATCCCCTAGAGATGCCTTCACCCCAGACAGCAGGAAGTAATTTTAAGAATGTTACCCACATTCCCAAGAGGTAGGGTGGGTAGTTTTCAGTCATTCAATGGGTTATGGATAATTGTCATTGTTTAGGATGGTTGGTTACAAGTTGTTAATTGATAATGATCATGAAAAAAGCTAAACAAAGATTAGATTCAGGGTTCTTGTTTGAAAATAAGAAAAAGAGGATGTAGATAAGAGGTAGATTATTGAATCAACTCTGAAAAAAAAAGAGAATATGGATATAAGAAAAAAAGTAAATTATTGAATCTACTTTTAAAAAACAACTATTAGTTTTAAATATTTTACATTGGACTGGATTTTTTGTTTGTTGTATACAAATTTGAGATTAATTTTGTTAGAATATACCACTCATATATTTCTAATCTTGTTTAAGGTATTGCACCTATACAATTCATTTAACAATGTAATGCAAATTGCTAGTCCTTGAAAGTTATTATTACCAACTAATTAGGATATATGAAATGCAAGTTAATAGTCATTACAATCAAACTTGTAGTCATATTAGGTATGTTTTCAAGGTCAAACACAAATATATTTGTAGATAGACAGTCATCTTCAAACACTTCAGAGATCTACAGAATACAGCATTTAAGATGTTTTAGTAACATAGATTCTTTCTTCTTTTTTATGAATATGAGACATGTCTGCTCCTGGCAGCACCAACCTACTTCAGAGAAGATGATGGGCATTGAAGAAACTCCTAATGGAGCTTACTTTCTTTGTAGCAAAAGCTAGCCACTAGACAAGAAAGTGCCCTTACATGGGCTGCTGACAGTATGTTGTCCAAAATGGACAAGCGGGACACAAAAGAAAGTGACTGCAGAACTTTGCCAAGACAAAGTAGGAAGGCCCTTCAGAAAATCCTGCTTCACAGATGAGTCTTTCAGATATGCTAGGCCTATAGGCCAAAGATGATGTCCCAACATTGCAAAGAAATCTTGGTTGACTATCCAGGCAGCCAGCTGTTTCTGTCATTTCTCACATTTTTTGAAAGTTGCTTGCCTGCACTTCCTGTTTACTTAGGTAGTATTATTTCCTTCTCAGATCTCTGAGGGAGTTGAAGATTAGACAGTTATAGTTATAGATTTTTTTTTAAAGAATTCAGAAAAGAAACTCATTAAAGAGGTGTAAAGTGTATAAGTTTGAAAGACACCAAAAGGTAGTTTTTGGTTGGTTAGGATAGAAAGTGAATTAGGTACACTTTAGACTCACTAAAATGGGATAATTACCAGAGTTTTTTGTCTGAATTTGTCAAATGTTTATGGACTGGACATTGTTAATGTAACTCTTGAGTGTATATATTGTATATACTTATTGTACTTATTTATATAGTTTTTCTTATATTAGTTATAAGAAAACTTATTTTAGACAAAAAAAAGAATAAATGTGGTGATATATTTTGTACCCCAATAAAGATTGCCTGAGGATGAGAGAAACAGAGCCAGCCACTAGATTAGACATAGAGGTCAGGCAGTGGTGTCACACACACCATTGATCCTATCACTGAGAGGAAGAGATTAATCTGGATCTCTGTGAGTTCAAGGCCACACTGGAAACAGAGCCAGGCAGTGGTAGCACACACCTGTAATCCCAGTACTGGGAAGAACACACACCTGTAATCCCAGGAAGTGACAACAGGGTGGAGAAAGGTGTATAAGGCTGAGGAAACAGAAACTAAAGCAGTTCAGCTGAGACCCTTTTGGGTGAGGACTCAGAGGCTTTCAGTCTGAGGATTCAAAGAAACAGGATCAGCTGAGGAGTTGGAGAGGTGAGGTTGGCTGTGGCTTGCTCTGCTTCTCTAATCTTTCAGCTTTCACCCAAATATCTGGCTTGAGTTTTTTATTAATAAGACCTTTTAAGATTTGAGCAACAGACCATGCTGTCACTGACAGTGGCTTACACGAGAGGACAAACCAGAATGCATTCTTTGAGTCTGAGAAGGCATTCCTGCTGTGTTCTGATAGAGGCTCATCAGTGACAAGAACAGAAGGACACTCATCTCATCCTGCCAGAGGTAGGGTGGGAACAGAAAGAGAGAGAGAGAGAGAGAGAGAGAGAGAGAGAGAGAGAGAGAAGAGGATGGCATGCTGGAGATGGTGAGGCCAGAGGAAACATAAGGGTCACTGCTGTGTTAGCTTTTACTGGGGAGATGAACACATGTCTAGTCACACAGACAGGTGTGTGTGACAGATGGAAGGAAAGATTCCATTGAAGAACACCTCGTGGAAACACAGAAACAATGAGTATAATTAGGGTTCCGTAATGAAGCAAGAGCTATGGCTCAGCAACCACAACACCAAAGGACCAAAAACTCCCTCTCACCCAATAATCATTAAATGTCTACATAGATACTTGGGGAAGAACATGATCATGAGGCCTTCCACAGCCACATTTATCTGCCTCATAGGGAGGGTAATTGAGATTACTTAGCAGGTGATGGTGGTTGCCACCAAGCCAGACAACCTGAGTTTGATCCCTGGGACCCATTTAATGGAAAGAGAGGAAAGACTTCTGCAGGTTTTCCTCTGACCTCCACACTAATGCCAAATACACACACACACACACACACACACACACACACACACACACAC